TGGTAGAATTACATGTACATGTACCAGTACATGGAAGGAGAAATACATGTACATGTATTGTACAAAAATTGTGTACACTATTTAATCTTCAAACTCATGCATGTATTTTGGAGCACTTGGTAGGAGTACATGTAGGCACGACAAACAAACACAAAAACTTAACACATAATTACCATTATTCCTTGCAATTTGTATATGTACATGCACACTGTTAATTGGTTCTCATTCCTGTGACACCATAACATGTACAGTGAATGGTCAGTTGCACCATAGCGGACTTCCAACTACGTACAAGATACCGGTATGCCTCTCTATGAACACTGAGTCACTGCATGACACATACTGTACAGGGGCTTAAAATAGTCTCTCTGGCATAACCACAAGATGATTCAATGCTTCCTCGGAGCAACGTGATGAAACTGGACCACTAGGGTGGTTCAGTACAGCAGACCACAAATCTGTGATCCAAAATTGAATAACCACAGCCATTGTCATGTGCAATATTATTATCCACTGAAAGCCTACACGTCCATACACATCTTTCTGCTGGATCAAGAGAAAACAAATTAACTGTCAGAAGATGTGCGTTCACAAAGGAATGAGTACACTGTATCAAAGGAATTCAGCTCTCTGAAGAATCTATAAGATATTGACACTTCAGTATAAGAGATATTCAGAGTAAGGGCTTTCTAAAGAAAAAACATAGGCCCACACTACTTGTTCACTTCAACCAACCCTGCCTCATAATCTTGACCAACTAATGTTCCCACAAGTGCAATGTTTGTACATTTTCCACAACAATATAATGTACATGTAAACTGCACATAAACTTCTCCTGCAAACTGCCAAATTTTAAGCATGACATACCGTACACAGTTCATTACTGTTTTGCAGTGGTAATAGTGTTTGACAACAAAGCATACACAACTGTACCGGTACATGTATGTTCAGCCCTCTCAATTTTCCAAACCAGGAAATATGGAACAATTTCACACTGTTCTCTTGGTTAAAATGCATCATGAATAAAAAATAATAAAAATTCACACTCCTTTATGAACCCAGAAGGTGAAATTCACAGTACATATTTTGCTAGACAGAAAAGGTGTGTATGGTAGGTACGTGTACACGCGTACGTTCAGCATGACGATGTGATTACTAAACCATATACCTGTATCACAGCACTGCACTCACATTTTTTCAGATTCAAACAGTTTTATTAAACTGAGCATAAATTTATTGCACAAGATGGTGTAATCCATGTACATGTACCGGAGCATGTCTGGTATGCATGACAACATTTCCACATAATGTGAACTTTTCCATCCCCTGCCAGTTTGGAAAATGGATGATTTGGATAGACACGGGTAGAATGTACTGCCTTATACATGTATGAACCACAGGCTGTTACATGTTCATGTATATAATTTTTTATTATAAATCAAATTGCTTTTAGCTTCACTGGTGCACACATAATGGGGAAGCTGGGCTTCATTGTGGAGGGAACTGGTGCTAGACATGACCAAGTCACAAACCATGTGCAATGTGTACACTGTGCAAGTACATGTACGAGTACACAGATGGATTTGAGTGTTAAACATGGTGTCCTCCAGAGGAAGTCTAGATGCATTTTCTTGTCAATAACCTTGAGACCCAGTTTGACTTTTATCCATATTGGATAGTTTAATTTTCTATGCCTTGTACAAAACTAGACATCCTATGAACCTGAATAAATTTTCATGTTCACGCATACATGTACAGTACAGTACATGTGGGTCTTTCTTTTAAATAGGAGGCCAAATGTGTGACATGGTGGCCAAACTTTCAAAACTGTCAAAACAAATGTAATTGATAATACATTCATGCAATAAATGTAAATGATTTTTGCTTTGAATAACTACATGTACTTGATGTGTACAGGCTCAATTTGAGCAGTGGTACAGCAAATTATTTGACGTGTAACAGAGAAACCAAATCCGATGGTTCTATGCATGTCATTTTTGGGTAGTAAAGGTACATGTATCTTTGCAACTGTTGCCAATTTTTCAAGATGTATTT